GAGAGTCTAGAGGAGAGCCACGCATATGATCAGAGGGCAGGAGAATAAGCCTTATGAAGAGAGGCTGAGAGCCATGGGAGTCATAGTTCCATAGATGTTAGAGTCAGAAGGGACCTATTAGATCGAGTCCGATCCTCTGCCCTGGGCAGGAATGAGTGCTGGGGTCAAATGACCCCAGACAGGTATCTGTCCAATCTCCTTTTAAATACCCCCAAGGAAGGGGACAGCACCACCTCCCTTGGAAGCCTAGTCCATATTTTGGCAACCCTCACTGGAAAGAATTTTTTCCTGATGTCCAATCTGAATTTGCTCTCTTCCAGTTTGTGGTCATTATTTCTAGTTACCCCAACAGGCACCCTAGTAAACATTGTATCCCCTATTTCTTGCTGCCCCCCCCAATGAGTTTGTAGGCAGTAGGAGTGTTCAGCCTGGAAAAGCGCAGGCTTATGGGAGATCTGGTGGCAGCCTATAAGTTGACTGTGGTGTGCATCAGGATCTGGGGTAGCGCGGGCAATTATTTTGGGCGGAGGGCTGCTTACTGAGTTTTGGCCAGCCATCAAGGGCTGCATGACAGGCAGCCAGGGGCAGATAAATATTAATTTTCTAAATTTTTAGGGGCCCCGCGGGCCAGATAGAATGGCTTGGCAGGCCACATCTGGCCCACAAGTCACATTTTGCCCATCCCTGATCTGGGGGAATGTCTGTTCACCAGAGCGCCCCATGGGATGACAAGGACCAATGGTCAAGAACTCCTCGAAGAACATTTTAGGCTGTGGTGAGCAGCAGTTTCTGCCCAGCTGCTGCTGCTGCTCAGCCCTGACGGGCGAGCCCAGAGCCAGCACGGGGTGCACAGGATCATGGCTGCATGCACTGGTCCCTGCCGCTACCACTGTGTGCAGCTGGGTGGTGCATAGCGGCGTGCTGTGGCTGTGTACTGTTGGTGGTCACGAGGAGACACTGCAGGGCACTCAGGCTCTGGGATGCTGTGGGGCAGATGCTGACTGGCTCAGGGGTGTGCATGTGGGGGTTCCCATGCACACCACACATCCTCTCAAACCCTTCCTGCAAACCCCACAACCAGATATAAGAGCAATGCCTTTAAACATCACAAAAGAACATACTGACAGAGAGAAGGAAAAAATATTATAATCAAACTCTTTTCCCATGTTCAGCACAACCTAACAAATATTTTTCTTGAGGCTAATCAAAGAGAATCTAAAGTATGAATTTAGGCATTTATTATGCTTTACCTTGAAAGTTAAAATGATTTATAGGCAAAATAAATAGGATCTCTTCATATATAACAACAGTCTCCAAAACATCAAAATAGAAAAAACAGGCCTATGAATTTACTTGTAAGCAGAAATCTTTGTGCAGGCACTTGGAAGTCTTCTACATTGGGAATTTAACGTTGCGATTATAGGAAGAAGCAAAAAAAGCATTCTACAAACCCAGTTCGCCACTTTTGCAAAACCAAGCATATGTGGAGCAGATGGATAAAAAAAAACACAGATCTCCAGCGCAGATTCCTTTTATTCTTCAATCGTAAAAGTCCTTCACTGCTTTATCAGACAAGCAGAACAACTCAAGAGATGCGGGACATGAGATAAAAGGAGCAGAAACACTTGCTTTAGCCAACCAGTTAGTAAAGGCAGCTGCATCCTTTAAGAGGAGATGAGAAACAAGCAGAGAGACATGCCTGGTATGGTTTCAATTCATTTCATTTCAGCTCTCAGTCTGCGATGCAGGATCCAAAGGAAGCATGCATAATGGCAGCCTGTAAATTAATGCGATTTTTACAAAAGGTCATTTTTTGCCAGCTTTATAAGTATCAGTAATGGTGGGGGGGTTGACTTTTTAAAAAGAAAATAAGGCAAAAGGCAGGGCAGAACCACACAAGCAATCAAACGAGCAGGAGAAAAAAGAACCTGAGCACCTACCACTCTTCTTTTAAAGTTTTGATATTGTCTACTTCTTTCATTCTGATGCTTTGCCTAATTATGAAAAGAAGATTTGTAAGAAATAGGCAAAACCCTTGACCCACTTGGCACTTCTGAAGCCGAGTTGTTTACATTTTCTGCATCCTTTAAGAGCTGTTCTGTGTTGACAGTTCACTTAAACAGGAATCTACAAAAACTGCTCCAGTCTCCAGATGGCTCTTTGTTTTCCTGCGGCTTCTAATGTGATGACGCATACAATGTGTACCATTTTCAGCCTCACACATTTAAAGGAAGACAACTGTGATTTTTTGAAACACCCCACCCCCCAACTCCCCCCAAGAATTCAAAAGCTTCATCATTCTTTTGAAAGCACAGAAAAAAAAAAAATCTATCACTGCCATTTTCATGGATTTGGTTTACATTCTTTGCTTCACACTCTGGCAGCAGTACTTATCAGATGGTAGTAGAACTGCAATGCCAATGCAGGCATCCTTTGTAATAGCTCATTGCCAGCCCCGACCTTCACTTTGACAGTGCATAATCCAAAGACGCAGCATCCTTCTAAGTCCTCCCCCAAGGTTCCTCCACTCTCCAGCTGGTGCAGTGTCCCTGAAACTGGATATGGCAACTCATGATTCTTGTTGAAAAAGGACTAGAAAAAAAAAATCCTGGATTTTCAAGTGCTGAACATACTACAGGATTAGTCTGCTGAGTCAATAGGGCTGAAAAGTGCTATACTGATCCTGTTGTGCTCTCCCCTGAGCTCTGCGGGGAATTATTTTAAGCCACAAAAACTACATAGAAAGCACTGAAGACCTGACAAGGGCAGAGGAACTCCGACTTGGCACTTTATTTAAGGATCTAAATCCTGCTAAGTGCTAGGCACCACCTTTATCGAAGCTGCTCAGAAATCTGCAGCAGTCTCCAAGTTGCCTCTGTGCATAGGTATTGGAGCAAGCAAAATAGGTAACAGTACCCAATCATTTCCAAAATAGCTAGACAAAAACCAGTGAGACTTAAATTTCTTGTTCCTCCCCAACTGTGCGGGCACCGTATAATCATGTGATATGCACATAGCTTTACTTATATATTTGAATTCAAAACCTGCCTTTTAAAATAGTTTATGTTAAAAAAAAAATCCCCAAGGTAGATTTACTATACAGAGTTTAGGCATCTCCTGGATATTAAAATCTGGCACCCAGCTCATTTATCTTTTGTGTTATTACCCTATGCAAAAATTTTAATCTTCTGTTAATTATTTTGTGGATCACCTCCCTTTGCACACACATTGATTAGTGCTGTTATGTCACAACGTCTGCCGAGCATTCCACAAAGACATCATCAGAGTGGTTGTAAAACCAGACCGAGACAGAAGCAAGTCTTTAGGCTTAAATTCTGTTTACAAAAACAAACAGGCCTTGCACATATAAAAGCCCTATACAAACCTAGTCAGCTATTAAAGATACTTTTCTTTATCCAAATACCATAGTATTTTACACTTAATTTTACTATTATATTACGGGTAAAATTAAATACAGATTATGCAGCATACCACTCATGTCAGCTGTCCAAATCTAGTATTACAAAGATTTAGTGGCATACAATCTTGCTGGTATAGGAGCCTACACACTTTACACCTCCATGTTATATTTGTCCTCGAGTCATGGATTTGGTTTACATTCTTTGATTCAGACCTGGCAGCAAGAACTTATTGGAGAGTAGCAGAAGAACTGGAATGCCAATGCTTCCTCTCGAAGTCTGTCTCCAAGAAGAGAGATGATCACTACACGTAGCTTTAGGTGACAGCTGGCTCAATGAGGCTAGTCAGGCGTGAATGAGAAGAACTAAACAAAAAAGTTTTAGTGTGTAGTAGGCAAGTCTCTGGAGCTCCTTCAGTATCTCTACATAACCAGCTGCTACATAACTAAGGGTCCATGTCCCAATTCCCAATTCTTTTAAATTAGGGAGCATCTCTAAATTAGAGCTTCAATCACTCCTGATTATAAAAGCAACAAGTGTGCACTTAGACAGGATTTCATTTTTCTTGCATAACCACGCAATTACACGGATGTAGGTAAACACGTACCCCACGTTTTCCCTTGCTCTAACCTTTCCTCGCATACATTATACTCCCACTTATTTCTCAAGACATCAAACTTGCAACACAATCTGAGGACACACACTTACAGGACCAAGAAACGTCTTTAGCACAAGCACTTGTCATATATATTCTTATACAACACTTTCATTAGTTAGGACGCAAGTGGAAACAATATTAAGGTGTACTTCATTGCTTCAAAAGCTAGTAACATTACCCAGAGCCCAGGGGGCAGTTATACCATTTTTCTTCCTGTACAAAGAAAAGCATAAACACTGCCAAATATCACTGCCAGAATTAAACTTTTCAGAGAATAAACTCTTTGGAGCAGCAACTATTATTTCCTATATAATGTATTATCATGGGGTCTAGGAGTCTTGCTTGTGGACCAAGACTGCCGAGTGCTAGGTGCTACTTCCTAGATTTGGTTTTGCCACTCTGAGCTTTTCTGGATAAAGTTTAAATCTAAATATTAATAGCAATAGCAATAAATACACTACAGGAACAGACAGGAGGTGTCTCATCCAAATGGCTACAATCTAGGCAGATGGGGAGGAACAAGAGGCAAGGAAACAAGTGCCTGCCTGACCTCAAGCAGCTTTAGCCTTGCTGAGCTCTGTAGGCTTATAAATAAGTTGTTCAATTCATCCAAAACTAGAACCAAGCCTGCAAATGTTTTCAATTTCCCATAAAGCCTTTTTTGGTCTGCCCAGGCTTCCCTCTGCCTCCCCACAGCCTGTTTCCATAGGCTGAGCGTGATGAAAAAGGAAGTAAAAAACAAAACAAAACCCTTTGGGGTTTTTTTAAGATTCACTAACCCCTCTCAACCAAAACTGAACACTCGGAGACAGGTTTCATGGTGGTCAAAAAGCCACCGCAAAAACCTGCTCTGAACAACTCTAGAGCAACACATACCAGGCCTCCCGCCCCCTGCATGCCTCCTCGAAGGTGCAGCCGCTTACCCTCACCATCATTTCAAATCCCAAACAGATCCCTGCCTGCTTCTGATGGCTCAGGCGCCAGGCCTAAAACATGCCGGACTCCTTGCACACCAGCAGCCATGTGACGTGGCCGTATCCCGGCCTCTGCACGTCTGGCTGGGACCCTCCTTTCTGAACCATCCCTCTGGAGCCTTTCACTGCTGTTCACAGTCACCCACACGTCACACGTGTCACACACAGACACCGCACACAGACGTCACACATCACACACAGGCATAGACACACACACGACACACAGAAAGAAACACACACGACACACACACAGGGATGAACAGACACACACGTCACACAGACATCACGTCATACACAGGCATAGACACAATTACACACAGACACACAGGCATACACACACGTCACAGGTCACACAGATAGACACAGGGATGCACACAGACAGACACACACGTCACACACAGGCACACAATTACACACACAGGCACACCCATGACACACACACAGGCACACCCATGACACACACACACCCCTCCCCTTGAGGCAGCGCAGCCGAGAAGCCCAGGCCGGCCCGCGCCTCCCCAACCGCCGCCGCCGCCCG